GAGCGCTGCTTCTCAGCTTTGGCCCTGGAGGCCCTTTCTGCCTCGATTTCCTCCTCCAGTTCCTCAATGCGGGCCTAGGATTGAGTGATATTTCAACATTAATATAAGTTCATAGCAATTTTTTATTTCTGTAATGAGACCCAGAAAAGGTGGTGGTTATGCCTTACCTGTAACTCCTTGATCTTTTTCTGCAGCTGCATACCAAGGGCCTGTTCGTCCTCAATCTTGCTTTGCAGATTGCTCATTTCAAACTCTTTCCTATTGGAAGAACAGCACATTAGCTCAGTAAATTATCTTCTGGCCGTCATTTCTATGTGCAATAGAACTTTATTATATTAATTAATTAGTACAGACTTAGTAGGACATACTTTACAAATAACCATCTTCATCAAGTAAAAAGCCAAAGTTGACCTTATTAATTCTTGGCATATATTGAAATAAAATTTAAAACATATTCTACCTGACTTCTAACCACCAAGCAAGTTACAGTTGAATTACATTTTACTTACTTTTTGAGTTTCTCATCAAGTTGCTGCTTGTCATTTTCTATGTCCATTGTGGATTCTTGGGCCAACTTTAGGTCACCTTCCAATTTTCTCTTGGCTCTTTCTAAGTCCATGCGAAGTTTCTTTTCTTGTTCCAGAGACCCTTCAAGCTAAATGTATAGTGGAGTTTATATTATTTTTTTTAAAGCTTTGAGCCTTTGATTCTAGCTTTCACACATATGCAAGGGCATTTTAAAAAGCACAGCAAATAGCATGAGAAACTGCGTTAACCTTTATAAAAGTTCATTAACATCAGTGACAGTGCCATGCTGTGATTGCTCATTTTATCTTAAGGAAAAGCATTTTGTTTTCCAAACTTACATCGTCCACTTGTTGCTCCAGCTTGGTTTTGGCCTTGGTCAGGGTGTTCACTTTGTCCTCCTCCGCCTGCAGGTCATCCAGCGTCTGCTGGTGGGCCTCCTGCAGGGCTTTCTTCTCTTTGGTCAGCTTTGCGATGTTTTCATCCAGGCCTGCCATCTCCTCTGTGAGGTTTTTCACCTTTTAGATTTGAACAAGGATATAGCAAGCATATAAATGACATCTGTTGACTCAGTGGAAAACATCGTAATTTTTTAGAACAATATCAGCCACAGGTAGAAAATTGAAACCAGAAGTCAAAGCAAGTCTATGTGGCTGAAAAAAGTAGGAGACATGGTCCAGGTAAATGGATAGGCGTGGAGGAGGCCAAAATGATGATGTAATGTGATAGTATTTTTCTCTCACGTGTAACAATTCTGATTAACCTTTCATTTGCAATACTTTAGTCACATGTTAAATGTGTACCTTGTTCTCTGTGGCATGCTTCTCCTTTTCAACCTTGGCCAGTGTCAGCTCAAGGTCATCAATATCTTTCTTCAGCTCTGAGCATTCATCCTCCAGCTTCCTCTTCTTGGCCGTCAGCTCAGCATTGATCTCTTCCTCATCCTCTGCCCTTTCGGTTAACTCTTTGATTTTTGCTTCAAGTTGGATTTTTGTTTTGATCAACTGGTCGCATCGTTCCTCTGCATCAGCCAAGCCATCTGCTTCCTAAAGGGGGAAATAAACATTTTCCTTTTTCTAAGCTATATGTACAGATAATTATTAAATGGAAGTCACTGAAACTTCATTGACTCAATGTGGTCAACATATACGACAACCTTTTAAAATCAAATAAACAAAAAAAAATGCAGCAATTTTACTTTACTTAAAGAATTAGTAGTAGATTCCCTCCAGATACTCATATGTGGAAAGCCAATCATGAAACCCAGTCTTGTGGCAACAATCTAAAATTTATTAACCTTTGTTACTTCAGAAAAGTAATATATGCATCCTACCACCAGATTTTATTACATTTAGCTAAAAGATCAATTTAGCCTTTTTCTATCCTGGTAAATGGAGTCTAAACTTCTGTTAATTGTACAAAAATATATTTACTAGTAACCTCTCTAAGTAGCGAGAACGCGCTTTATAGCCAAAAAAGTCTAGGATATTTTTATGACTTTCCTCGCTGATAACTATGTATAAATATACAAATGAATTTATACACCATTATATATGGTTTTACATCTATTGCTTCTTTATATCTGAGATTTGGTAAATAGGAAAGGCAAAGTAAACTAGAGAAAACGTTTTCCTAGAAAACAAATATCTGTAAAGCTCAACTTAAACAGCTCTCAGATGCAGTCCGTTAGTGTTCAGGTAATGAGATATGGCTAAACTGTGAAATGTGTAATACTCACAGATTGAACTTGAAGTTGCAAATCATTTTTCTCTTGCATCAGAGCCACCATTTTTTCTTCCAGCTCTTTTCTTTTTGCCTCTGACTTAGCCAGCTCTTCTTTGGTCTTCTCAAAATCTTCCTTCATGTTGGCCATCTCCTTCTCAGTCTCCGCACTCTTGAGCAGAGGCTTGATCTTGAAATACAGCTTCATCCAGGGCCAGTGCTTCACATTCATGAAGGCACGGACGTTGTACTGAATGCAGAAGATGGATTCTCTGTAGAGAAAATGCAAATGGAAAAGAATGTGCTAAGTGACCGTGTGATCAAATGCAATGACCACATTCAATTCAACTGTGAAATTGTGTAGAGGACTCGTGCTTGGTCTCTCACCTCCTCTCCATCATCTTCTTGAACTCCACTCTCATCAGGTATCCTCTGCACATGGCTTGTGTGCGTGTGATGAGTTGAGCCAGCTTTTCATCTCGCATTTCCTCTAGAGTTCCCAGAAGACCAGCTTTAAAGAACACCTTGTCAAGTAACAAGCAGAATGGGTTATTTCCACTCATGAGAAAGCCCAAAGATGGAGAAATTGTTACAAATAAAAAATTTCAGTTGATGATACCTTGGTGTGACCAAATTTGTACTGGGTGTGGTCAATGTCAATAGACCCTAGAAGCTTCTCAGAAGCTTTCTTGCTGTCAATGAACTGACCCTCTGGGATAGCGCTTGCATTTAGAACCTTGTATCTGTCAGAATAAAAGGAATATGAGAATATATTTCCCTTCATTTACACAGAAAAAAGGGTAGAACACTGAATAATTGTCAATGGAAGGACTACAGATTGACATGTGTAAAGAACAAAATGCTATTACAAAAATCATACAGACCTTTACGTAAGAAGACATAATGAAAACCTTATGATAGTATAAACCAGTCTTCTTTCTTTTGTGAGCACTTTTCAGGTAAATTAGTTTTCATTTTAAAGAAAAACTTTTAAATGCTTGAGCTTAGTGGTGGTTCCAGTATGCACTGTGACATGGAAATAAAACTATAAAGGACAAATAAGACAAACCTCTGTTTGAAGTCTGCATAAAGGATCCTGCTGGGGAACCCTTTCCTACAGATGCGGATGCCTTCAAGCACACCGTTACACCTCAGCTGGTGTAGCACCAGTTCATGCTCCATGGCACCTAAAGGAACAAGAGATGTTTTCCGTGTAATAGTTGAGTGAGAAGTCATACTGGAGATGTAGCTATCAGATATAGATGTCTATTTATGTAGAGATCAGAAGTATCTTACCAGGAGTTTTAGTTTCATTGGGAATGAGGCAGCGTACAAAGTGGGGGTGAGTACTCCTCAAGTTGGTCATCAGCTTATTTAAATTCTCCTATAAAATCATATTAAATGTTTTAACAAAACTTCTGGTTGTGTCCATGTACAAATTCCTATCAATGACACACACTTGATCAGGCCACCATGTCAAAGTTTAATGAAGCATCTCAGTGAAGGACAAATTAAGAAAATCAAGAGGAGCCATACAGAAAGAGTAAAAGATAGGAAATGATGGGTTATATTAAAACCAGGCGACTGTTGAGTCTTTCTTTTTACTACCAGTCAGAGATCATTTGTCCTGAGGCTTTGGTCAAATGGAGTAGATTTAACTGAAGATGGTAGTTTGAGTTTCATTTGAAATTTTTTTTCAATATCAGACCTACCAGATTTTTTTTTCTCACAGGCCTTTTAGACTCATATTTCATAAGGTTTGATTTGAAGAAATATATTATGGGCCTTATTTTTTATAATACTTAAAGTATTTTACAGGGATTTTTTTCAAGTATATTTTTATTTTCTCACCACCCCCACCCTGGTAATTATTACTAAATTTTTTAAACAAAAAAATTCCCCTGGAATTCAAGAATACACTGTACCCTGAAAAGAGCAGATACGGTCTGGAAGGAAGAACCCTTCTTCTTGCCACCTTTCTTTCCACCACCACCAGCCTCTGGAAAAATGAAATAGAAAAGGTGATTTGCAGCAAACTTCCAGCACTATTCATCTACATAAGGACTGCCAAAATTTTCTTTGGAATTTAATTTGCACTGATTTTTTAACACCGCTCCTATTGCTCTTTCCTTATCCAACTATAAACTAAGAGTGCTTCTGTTCTATCTCCTGGTTCACTGCTCTGTTGCTGTTGTAGACCATTCATTGCATTTGCAACAACTCATAGCTGACCCTCCAACAGGCAGAGATAGTAGAATTGCATGGGAGGAGATTTCCCATGGAGCAGTTGGTGGACTCAAACCAGTGCCTTTGGGTTGGCAGTGCAACTCCTTATACCTAGGCCATCAGCACTCCTTAGTTTACTGCTTAGTGTCTGGGATCTTTAAAACTAGCTCTTAAGATCCAAGGCAGGGGAGGGGAGAGCAGACAGGAGGGGATGAGTGGGGCAGGGGGGACTTTAGCATAGGGTCACACAAATTGATGGTTGGAGGGAGGGGTGGGTAAAGGAAAGGGAAAAGACTCGGTGTGGAAAACAATGTATACAAACTTTGTAAGTAAACCAGTATAAAATAAAAATTTTATTTTAAAAAACCCACAATGTATATGAATGAAGCATAATGTAAAGAAATTATTATTATTATTTTAAAAATATACAAAAATCCCTTGCAAGCATCCATTCAAAGCACTTTGGAATAAGAGAATATGAGAGAAGGAAGGAGGATCAGGAATAGAAGCAGAATTGGAATGTGTGGCTAATTGTCTCCCTGAACAACTGACTTCTTTGCCATGAGACCAAAACTAAATGGTTTATACTTGCTATTATTATACATCTTCATCACAGGTTCCATAAAGAAATTATGATCAAAAGGGGGGAAATACAGAAAAGATTTTCAAATTTTCATAGACTCTAGATTTTCTGGAGTCACCTAGGTAAATGTATCCCTGAAACTATTGCCCTGAGACTATCTTTAAAGCCTAAGTGAAAAATACTTCCTGAAGTTTTTTAAAACTATGTCATAGTTCAGCTCAACAAGTTAAAAAAAGTGTTCCTTGAGCTCTTTTAAGAAATATATAAGATTAAATGGATAATAGGAACTCAAAAAATTGTGGGGCAGGGATTTATCCTAATGAGAGAGGAACAATTCAGAAAAGGAGGATGAGAACGGGTCCACTCAATAATATAATAGTGTGACTAACTTCTGCAATAGAAACTATTGAATTGGTACACGTTTTGCATGTCCTTGATGATAACAACAAAATAAAATTTAGGAAAAGAATGTAAGCTTCTGTTCACACTATAGGGGGAAAAGGATGTGAATTCAAAATATAGCAGGTGGGTGAGTGTAGAAGTGTGGTATGGCACCATTCTAAATCAACAAAGTCCAGTACCAGAAGGAAATAGCTAGGATATTCTGCTACATTGCCTCCGTGGAGCACTCCCTTTCCCTAAGAACAGTAGAAGCTGCATGCTTGGTCCCTAGGTAGGTAAATCTGTAGGCAAATCCTCTTTCTCGTGTTACTTGTACTTCTACATAGTCAACTTGCACTTCTGTTCTACCTAAGAGAATAGAATGTCATGACGCTGTTTTATCTTCAACCGAGCTTGATATTTTAAGGAGCAAATACTGTTGAAATGGTAGAAGTGATTTATGTGATCCTGAGCAAATCACATGATCTTTCGGAGTCCCTCCTTCAATGGCAAAATAAGGCCGTGGGACTCAGGGATTCCTAGTGTTCATTTTAGTTCTGCAAGATTGATTTTAGGACTGTGTCACACTTGTTAAATATGCTTCCTTTTCTTACATCCATCTTGGCCATTGTTATTTTTCATTGTTAGTTTTTCTGTAACTACACTCTGTATATTTCTTGATTGTAATTATTAAATATTACCTGCTTCAGCACTTGGTCCTCCGGAGAACAGGAAAGCCAGAGTCTTCAGTCCAGACTTCTGGTAGAGCCCCACCACGGTCTCATTCAGGGGGTCCTTGTTCTTGTCAAGCCACCCGGCGATGTTGTAGTCCACGGTGCCAGCATAGT